ATCAGTAATTTAGTATAATGTACAGCCCTCTGCAAACTGCGTGGTAGGTATTCTTTTTTCGACAAAAACGACAATAACGCGAATACTATGCTATTGGTCATTCGGAAATCGTGACAGCAAGACGCGCGAGACTCCGCACCTTAAATTGGCATCATCACTGTATTCATTTTCCATCTAGTTCGGCAACAAAACCCAAAAGTTTATATTTGCCCCTAAAACAAACTTTTACATTTTGTTGCCTCACAAGGCGTTTATCTTGTTTAGTGATAGACCTAATCGAAGGAGTGGAGCATTGCGCATCTATTTGCAGTGAGTTCCGACCGACTGATAGCATAGCCTTTGAGTTATTATCGGTTTTGTCGAATAAAGAATACCTACCACGCAGTCTGCAGAGGGCTGTACCTATCTATCATCACGGACGTCCGCTGTTGCCCTGCGGATAGCGAGCGGTTCCGAAAACCAAGTTTCTGTTGACGCTAACATTCCAATAACTAACAAAAATTTAACGTTCCTCATCTCCCACTTGAGAAAAGTTAGCATGGCTAAGTTTGCAAAGCAGAATAAAGCCAAAACATTGGACCAGCTCGTGCACTGTCTGTTTATGTAACAATGTGGCTGCCAAATATCTTATATAACCGAGCGGATCCGACCTCTGGATGAGAGCGCCAGGATCTATGCAAAGCGGCGACCGAGCGGAAAGAGAAGGCAACACGGCAGTCTCCACAGCGCGCTTGAAAGGATGAGTTTGCCTCTCGACTATTTTACAAGTGACCTGGACGATTCATGGACTTGGTGAGGGCGAAAATTAAAGATTTGTGGCACACAGACTGAATCGGTGTTCGGCTGGATGATGGAAGTCGAAGCTACCAGCAGATCTGACAGGCCCGATCCTAAGACGAATAGGAATAATTCCCTGCTTATTGGATCGCAAGTAAGCTATTCAAGGTCAGGTAGTACGAAAATGCATGAGGCCATTGAAAGACAATGTCAAGAGAAAGTACATAAAACTTCAGTTACGAAATACAGACGGAATTCCGCCTCGAAAAGAGCTCGGCAGCGTTGGAATAACTGACAGCAGTACAGAGTCGTAGATGTTCCACGGAAGGCTGATCCAATGTCTCTGAGCAGACATCTAACATTCCGTCGGGCTCAAAAGCAGCCAGCTTAGCAGCCGGCTACGCAGTACTCGTTCTGCTGTACCGTAGTACAGAGTCCGCAGTACAGCAGTACTTAGTGATGTCAATTTCAGAAAACATATGTTCAATGTCCGTCCAATGTCCAATACTTACGTCGACTGTCCGTCCAAAAATGTCCAAGCCAGCCATTTGTCCAAAGATGTCCGACATCTACGCAATAGTTTACACTCAACACCATTATTTAATTTGGTTTTAATGTATCGTTACCAGCTCAAAAGTGGTAATCATATCGAAAGCTGAGCTTTGTAATAGCCAATCAATGTTAAACACGATTACTTTATAAAAATGTTGAGGTCATGTAGCAAGCGATTGTCCAAAGTTGTCCAAACCCTGCTGTCATTGTCCAACCGAATTCCGAATTGGACATTGGACAAAATCGGAATTCCGAAGATTCAAGTTCCGAATGACACCACTGCCAGTACTCCGGACTCCGGAGCCGGAACGGACAGCTGACAACTGGCAGCTGCTGAGTCTGACGCAACCAGTGCAGTGGCTGCCAGCCGTCTGTGTTTACCGCTTTAGGCGCCTCGACCTTACACAATACGGATAGCGATAGCACAGTTCCAGTTCTCTGACAACAGCCACATGCCCAGCAATATGCCTGGATTTTACCGAAGGATAAGTCGTGTTCTCGGCACCGCTTACATAATGTACATGGAAGTCTGTGTTCAAACACTCAGCAGCACCGGTTTTTACCATGCAGTCAGACTTAAACTGAATCGACGCCTGTCAAAAACTGGTTTCGGAACTCAGCAGCGTAATATCCAGCACACAAGCGGTAAGCTGAGACGGATGAGAGCAGTTTGAATGATGCAGAGATAAAGCAAGTGGGCGTTTATCAGCAAAACTGTTTGCAAACGAGAGCAATGGTGACTTACCGAGCGGGCTCAGAATGACTGGAGTCGACAAAAACCCGAGCAGCCAGAGCCGGCGACAAAAAGGCAGCCAACTGACCTCTGGACGCCTGGCGGCCGGCAGCGAGGGAGAGAGAGAGCGTGCTCCGGCGGCTCGGCTCGGCCGGGCTCTGCCGAGAGCCAGGGTTACCAACGAGAATTTTTCTAAATCCCAAGATCGCCGCGCGAATTTCCCAAAATCGAGCTCCATATCCCAAGGTCGACAGGATCAAAGCCCAATGTGCATCCCAAGGTCTATAGAAACCAAATATAGAGCAAACAAAGTGTATTTGACGTATTTTCAAATCTTTGGTTGACTAAATAAATCAATATCGTTAACATATCTTGCATTCGGCACAGTTACACACGCAGGCATAGGTACAGAGACACAGCCGCAGTCGCTCCCTTGTACGTTCCCTCACAGACGACACTGAGTTCTGACTTCTGACTTTCTGAGCCTGCACCCTCCACTCTCCAGAAAGACGAGCCGAACTGGAGACGGGTCGAGGTCGTCGCCGCCGCCCGCCGGCCGCAATACGATACGAGTTGAAGCATGATCCGTCGCAGTGGCGGATCCAAGGGGGGGGGGGGCAAAATGGGCATTTGCCCCCCCCCAAACGGCATAATTTTAACATTACGCCTATGGACGATGCGTGGAAAGAATCGATAAATTTTATGATTTGCCCCCCAAACTCTGAGCTGGATCCGCCTCCGATCCGTCGGGCGTCGCAATTCGCAAACAGGCGGCCAGGCCGGGTGTTAATCGACGCGGAAGCCACTGGGTATTTCGCTAACTGCCTCACTTGAGAGCTGAGACGGGAGAAACCAAGTGAAGACGCGTCAAATAAGGATAACTTATTCGTGCTTCGTTGGTTGCTTGGTAAGGTACAGTGAAACCAAACGAAAGAACGCTCGGTTGTGTTCGGCCAAAAAGGACGGTTTACAAAAAAAAAAAACAATTAAGTTGTGTTAGATGTGTTCCTGATTCTTTTGTTTGGTCTTTATTCATACTTTTCCTTGTTCCAATGATTAAAAAAATGTGCTAAAATTAGCGGGAGTCGTAAGCTCGGGACAAATCCCAAGGTTTGCTGTTGAATCCCAAGGTCCCAAGGTCGGGTTCAATATCCCAAGATCTTGGGACAAATCCCAAGCTTTGGTAACCCTGCCGAGAGCAGCACGGAACTCCCGTCGGCGCGGAGGGGCCGTGGAGGGGGCGGGGACGGGAGAGGGTCTACTGCGGGGCGCCTGATCTGGAAGCATTTGGCCTCGGTGTGATGATGCACAAACCAGTTCGCCATTCCCGTAAACCAGCTTACATGGGAGCTACACACTGTTCAGGCGCAGGTAGCTGTGACGAGTGTGCCGAGGCCGTCATGAACACGGCGCAGTAATAACTGATCGATTGTACACATTGACACCGACCGCTCTCCGCCGCCCGCGGGCAGAGGCAGAGCGCCGAGGGCAGAGCGCCGAGAGCACGGTCAGCCAACAGCGGGAGCACGTGCGCTCCTGGGCGGCAGGCATGCGATATTGCCCCCGAGCTCCGCCCGATCAATATCCCAGGTCTCGGCACGATGCTGACTTGCCCAACTGGCGGCTCCAGCCGGAGCTCAAAGAAGGCAGCCACGGGGGGGGGGGGGGGGGGGGCGATGGGCAGGTGTTCATTTTCCCCAGGTACTGCCTTAGCCCTACTAGGCCCTGGTGGGTGGTGTAAAAAAGCAGGTCTCCAAGACACGTCCAAAAAGTGTTTGAGGGAGTGTCAAAAACACATGCATCCATCCATAAATTGCTGTCCCATGTAATGAGCACACAAGATAATGCAAGCAACCTAACCAGCATGGACTTGTCTCACTTGGCTGAGTTGTTAACAAACATCTCTTATTCATGACAAAATGTAGGTTACAGGTGTTGCTTCAATAGTTTCTGATACAGAAGCATCACCCCCTGTCCCCATATATCCAAGAGGGTATGCCATTTCCCATTAGTTTGCATGTGCTGCACTGCACTGTAGGGACAGTTTTAGCACAGCTTTTTTCATTCATCTACTTACAATTGCTCTAAAAAAAAAACTCAACATGTGTATGAGCTGCAGTTATGAAACATTATTGCATTTGTATATACCTATCAAACTAGTCATATCAGATAACTTCAGAGTTCAGAAACAGGGATCATTACATGTTATTTGCTTGTAAGCTGTTTGTTTTACATGTCACCTATCCAAACAGCTTATGATGCTGCCAAAAGTAGGTAAAAATTAAAATGCATAGGAGTCAGTAAGGTCATCTAGAAGATTTTTATATTTTTTGTGCTGTTCATAGTATAAGTATAAGTATAAGTATAAGTAAAAGTGTTCATCATTTTTCAAGTGCATATTCCCAGATTCCATTGAGCAAATACTAGGCTTTATTGTGTCATGTTCACTGGTTCTGATTTCCAGCTTATCTGTATTTGTTATTGGTGTTGGTATTTAGGTCCCTATTCATCAAGCCACAATAGGCACTCGACCCACTAAAGAGCAGGAGTCACAATTTTAACCAAAGAATATGATGCACACAAACACAATACACATCACAAACATTTGCACGCACACTCAAAGCCAAGTAGCCAGCCAAGTAGTGGAGGGAATTTTAAGGGAACTGGCATGCCAATAATAATGTTTGAAACATTACATTTAGAGTGCAGAGGAGTGGATACGTTGATCAAAGATTAACAGCTTAGGTTATCTTATATCTTAATCTTAGAAAGTAGGTATTTCTATTTTTTCAACTTCAGTTTCAGTTTCTCGGCATGATGTGACACAACTGATACACCCAATTATACTTTGAATAATTGAATATGGAGCAGGGAAGCCATTCATGACCATCATGCATTAGGGACAGGACAGGAATATAGTCATCACTGTAACACCTACCTTTTGTTTCCAGCCTTCACAATATGAATACCACTTGAATTACATAAGTACCTAAGGTCCCGGGAGTCGCAACGCGAACTCGCAGAATGCGAGGAAGTCACCGATCACATCAATGTTGGCAATATAAATAGCACAGAGGGACTACAATACACATACAACATAGAGCTGGCTGAAACGAATAAAAAAGTTAACTAAAATGGTAAAATGGGCACCCCGATTACCCTCTTCTCAATATAAAAACACACGCGCCTGCCATATGGGCGGACGCAGGCTTGTTTACTTACCTATATTTTGAGATGTCAAGTGTCTACAGAACAAAATAGACGTAAAACTTCAATAATTGTTTAGTTTGTCACTTTTAATGATCAAATCACATTGGTGGTTGATATTTGTATGGCTTTTTTATTTTTTCTTAATATATTTTGTTTTAAATGTGTTAAAAATCCGCCCATAAATTATGATATACGTCATTTTTCAGAATATATCCTTGGCGTCGTAAATGTCTTTGCTGCGTCAGTCGTCAATCCAACTTTATTAAAGTTTTTACCAGATCGCTAAATTCTCTCAATAGTCTTCTTTTTTGGAGAGTTATATGGGAAGGCCCTATATGATTTTGTTGAGGCTGTGAGGCAGAGGCAGACAGTTATTTGCGCCAGCCAATTGCATGATAAAAGTTACAATCGTTTTATCTTTCTTATTTTTATGATAAAATGGCAAAACCTACTCGGCCCCCGATCTCAATAACCAGAAGTCCCATACAGTTTTTCCAAGTTTAACTCGCAAGTCGCACCCACAGAGAAATAAGAGCTTCAAAATGTGCCATGTAAGATCACATGTCATGCTGTTATTGTTGAATTCCTGCAGAATCCTGCTTTTCATTCTCAATCAATAAATTGAAATGTCAAAACTTTACGAAATACTCCTCTTTCTAGCGACTTCTAAAAAAGTCTTCAAAAAATAAACCTTTCTCTGCACTTCCTCCTGCTGGCAGTGAGCTGCCAGATAGCGCTTTACGGTTAACCTGGTTCACTTATGTTTTGTTATGATTTCAATTTGTGCTTTTTAATTGTGTGATAGTGGATCTGAGTTTGAGATGCTACGGGGCGAAGTCGTTGGATCGTTGCAAGGCCCTTAAAATTGGGTCGTTAGGTCAAGAGATTGATAGAATTAGTCAAATAATTCTGTTTTCTGCTGGTACCTGCATTGCAACTGGTCAACTGGGTAGGTAAGTTCACTTCAATGCCTATGTCATTGTCAATGTTTGTTATCTGAATCAGTGTCACCTTGACACAGCCCTCGGCCGCCCCTAGGGACGCTGGTGAAAACAGGGCGCCGGAGGGCATATTAGTCACGTGGCATTTAGAACTTCTCCCCCTTGCCCTCCTTAGGCCTTCTACATGCTAAACATCACGTGTGAATTTCACGAACGGCTGTGCGCCCTAACCCACAAAGAAGAAGAAGACAAATTTCACGAACCTTGATCAAATCAGGCCCCAGGTGCCCTGTTTTCACCGTCGTCCGCCCCTAGCCCCAGCATGAGTATGCGGAGTATGGCAATTTTGATTTAATTTCATCAGTGGAGGCGGGATTTGGCTGGCTGTTGCCTGGTGTAGATTTGGTGCAGTGTGGTGCGAATTTAGTTAAGTGCGGCGCAAAATTGGCCCAGAGGGACATGACAGATCAGACAAGATGGATGAGGACAATTGAAAAACCTTGTAGCTACCGGAAGCAGTGGCGTATCCAAGGGCGGGGGGGGGTTGTTCTGGAGGTCCTAGGACCCCCCTGGAGCCTAGAAAAGTTTTTTAACTTGAAAAAGAAATGAAATGACTTTGAGGGCCCTTTTGACCACTTCCCATTTTTTCACATACTGAAAAAGTATTGGGGAACTCTTTTAGGGGCCATTTGAGGACTATCAGAGGGCACCTTTAGGCCAATGAGGGACCTTGTGAAGTAAACATAGGGCCCTTTGGAATGAACAGGATCCTCTCAGGCACACAGAGGGCCCTCTCAGGCACATCGAGGGCCCTCTCAGGTACACAGAGGGTGAGGGCCCTCTCAGGGACACCGAGGGCCCCTTAAGACGATCAGAAGGCCCAATGAGGTATGCGGGTCATTTTCAGGCCACAAGGTGTCCTATGAGGCCAACAGACGGTCCTCTTAGATCAAAGGTGGTCCCTGGAGGTCACCAGAGCGTCCTCTGAGGTGAACAAAGGGCCCTCTCAGCCACCTCAAAGAGGGCCCTTTTAGATCAACAGGGCCCTTTGAGATCAAACAGGGTCCTCTAAGGCGAATAGAGGGCCTTCAAAGACCACAAAGTTTCCTCTGAGGCCACTGGAGGGCCCTCTTAGGTGACATGAGGGCTATGTCAGGCCACCATGAGCCCTACCTATGATGTATCAGGCCCTCTGAGATCAAAGAGGGTCCCTGAGGCCGAGGAGAGGGATTCCAGATTTGTGCGGCCGATTGGAGGACCAGAAAGTCGATTGGAGGGCCAGAAAGTCGATTGGAGGACCAGAAAGTCGATTGGAGGGCCAGAAAGTCACTGCTCTGCTGCAATTCAAGCAGTCTAATGAAAACAATTTATCGGGTACGTTCGACGCAGCTAATGGGTTGCGTTGAAAGAATCTGAGCTTGTTGCATAATTCTGCACTCTGCAGTATTCGTAAACGAGATGCGCTCGGCTCATGTGAGGGTTCGGTGTTGTTGCTCGGTGGTAGGACGAGATGCGCATGGCTAATGACAGGTCTTGAGGACCACCACTTGGCCGCAGCCAAGGTCACGACTAAGTAGTCAAATCCGCTGTGAATGAGTCTTCCCTATCAGATTTATTGTTCGATACGTACCCCGTACCCGGATCAACTCAGCTCGAACCAGGAGCCACGAGTGGAAGCTCGAGAAACCGAGGGCGCCTAAACTCGTGCGCAGAGATGCGTTCTGCTTCAGAGTCATAAATGACTGGAACTCCCTACCGAGTGCAGTGGTCATGGCACAGTCCGTCAACCAGTTCAAGGCCCAGCGGGACAAGCACTGGGGTGGCATCATGTTCGACACCCCCTATCCCTGAGAGCCCAGCCTGCACCCTGATATGAGCTCGATAAGAGCGAGATTCCCAGGCCAAGTGGCCTTTTAAATCCCGATCATCACAAAGATAGGGTAAGTTCAGTTCAGCCGAAAGGGTCGTAGCCGAAAGCCGTAAGCCGACACTGGGTCGGCTTACGGCTTCCTTGGGCCACCCACATTCAGTCAAGGAAATCATGGATGTTCATTCCAGGAAATGCTGTATGCTCAAAATTGTCAGTTTTGTCAGTACTGATATTTCAGTTAAGAATTCTGAACTCTTTTGCAGAATCTGCCTTCTTGCGTGAGATGAGACAGTTGGTGTTTGAACTGTCGTGAAGGTTTCAGTGTTTGGCCATCAAATATGACAAACTTTTGGTGGAAACCGGAACCCTAAATGCGTCCGCGTCTGATGGAGCTCATTCTTCGCTTGACCTAACGGTTCGCACACCCACTGTCTAGTGCTCAAGGCTAGGTGGGCTGGCACAGTATCTCGTCTTGTCGCTTATTGTGCACAAGCTATCTGTATCGTACCAGAGCTTCGAAAAATCAAAGGTGTAGACCTCCTGAGTTCCAGGAAAAAGCTTGGTATATGTGAAAATGAAATCCGAGTGGTTTGTAGGTTGGTAGCCGTTAATGTTTTGGTCTTTAGTGGATATCATCAACATAAATAGTCTGAGAGCAAAACTGTTGGTGCCTTTGGGTAGGCACGCTTGACGCGTTGAGTGGTCATCTTAAAGATTGTCTTCCAGCCTCAAAGAGCAACATTTTAGTGAGTGCTTTGAGTGAGTGAGTGGCAGGCACGGAACTTCAAAGATGGTGTGCGCCGGCTGTATTGAACCGCCCGTGTGCAGCTGGATTGGATCGAGTCAGCAAACTGGCAATCTAACACCAAACTGGGACAATTCGTCGGTAAGCCGAGCGCGGTCAAGTAGTCATTCTCCGAGCAGGCGTCTGTTCGGAGACGTCAATCAGGTTGAGTGCCGCACCTGTGACTGGTGAAGGAGCTGGGAGCTCTGATCTGCTCTCCTTGAGCGGGAGGCCAAACAGCTGGCCCTGTCGAGAAGCTACAGGGTGGAAAGTAATTACGCGAACATGTATTTTCTTACAATTTCGCCCGTCAGTGGAGATTTTGTATGAGCGCGGGCTGTTATGGAACATGACTGGTCGTGTTTGTTGTCGCCTCATCTAACAAAAGTGACCTTACTTTGAAAAATGACTTGGAAGGTCTACAACACCTCTCGGCTTCGAGTGGTGCTGACGCCATACGCTGCTCAAGACCAAAATGGGTAAAAGCTCAATTTGAAGTTGCCAGGGAAAGCGTTTGTGATTATTTTGGCTGGATTGGTGCGGAAGGGACTCGGAACGGTCTCGGCACCAGCATTACTCAATTACACGTTTGGTTGAAGCATAATAAAACTTAAGGGTGCGATGTTAATGTTAAGTCAATGGGAGGCGAAAAACCGCAATATCTTGAAAACCGATAGAGATATTAGCCTCAAATTCGGAATGTACCTGCTCCATGGATATACGAAGCCTACTCTGGACAAGATGTTTGATTCCATGCAATATTCACGTTGATATTGCACGATAAAGGTGGAAAAACTGAAAAGTTTGGGCCGAAATTCATTAAACGTCATTCAAACTAGGCGCAAAAAATGAATGGCAACCGCATATCCTCAAAGTGGACAACAATTCTATGTACTCCGATTTTCCATTTTCTTTTTGCAATGTTGCAAAAAATGAAAGTAAAACTTTGCTCATCTTTTATTTTTTGTGGGAGGCATAAAATAAAAAAGCGGCTACATAGAAATGTGCACAGAACATTTCTTCACACGAAAATGAAGTTTACTTTTCAGAAATGTTTGAACTGTGACTGGAATTAAGCCCGAATCATATCCACTTTTTGACGGTTTTGTTGGTTCAAGGGAGTGCCGCTAGATGTCGTATGGGTCTCCGCCTCGGTCCCTGCCGTTCCCCCATGTAATAAAACCCGCGAGTCGCGCCGACCGGCGGGGAGGGACTGTCAACACACGGTGATTTACGGTCTGGGGCTCCCGCATGTGCCGGTGGCCGTGAAGCTCTGCCGGAACAGAAGCGAACACGGGGTTGTCGGAGGAAAATACGGATGGTGGGTGGATCGAATGAGATTAGTAGAGTTTATATGAATAGCATATCGATACACAGGTTACCAACTATAAAACCTTTGCGCCTATAATTTACCTTCTCCCCTAAATAAACATGGGTATTACATGTGAACTGTGATGGCATGCTTGAATTTGATTGTGGCCAGTCTGTCTATACGTCAGTAATTTTACAATCGCATAGTACCTACTCTGAAGCTGCATTTGTATAGCGATCACAATTCACAACACGTCGACAAATAATGTGGTATCGATGGTGAAGCTCAAGACAAAGGAGGAAGAACCAGTACTACTATGTATTGAAATACTTACGGAAAGTAATATAACAGTGCATCAGTAGTTGGTTGTACATCATTGATGCATCACACATAAATCCTCAGTATGGCGTCTGCTCTGCTGACGCAGTGCATGGAGGCGAATCCAATGAAAACATTTAAACATGCCAGTATAACCGGCACATAATATTGCATCCATGGCATCATTGACATATTGCATTCGTACATGACACGAAACTGACACAGAACAAGGAGCACAAAATGATATCGGCATGATGCTGAGCGAATGCCTCAGTTTTGACACGATTGCTGAAATTACCTTAGTTGATGCGTGGTCGACATCTGAGCCAATGATATGTTACATCGAAGTCTCATGACTGCAGTGAGTCGCTCCCTTTTTTATCCTTTTTTACCATGATGGATGGGATAAGTGAGAAAAAAGTTTCAGCTTGTTAGATGTGTGGCAGGGCTAGTCGCCTCATCCTGTATGTTTTTTTTTATGGATCGATGGATTTTAGGGTGACTCCGACTCCGACTCCGACTCCGGCTTCAAAAATCGACTCCGACTCCGACTCCTACTCCGACTCAGACTCCGGACGGTTCTATTAACCCGCGCCCCGCTGGGTGGGGGTGGGGGGGGGGGAGAAATAACTTCTAAACGCGTTACGCCAGCTACGTCAAACTTTCAGTACCTTATCAAACATCAATTTAAGACGTTTCCTGAAAATTTGAGCGAAAGCCGTTGGAAA